CCCCCCCATTTCTTTAACCGGTTTCCTCATTTCTTAAAAGGGCTCTGACTTAATGTCAAGTCTGACATAATCATGAAGAAATAAGGAGGAATCAGATTTTTAGACTTCTCAAAGGTCACATTTTTCAAGTCATCCAGGCGTCTGTGACATTTGTCATCTTAAAATGATTTAAAGTCAGATTTGCCTCGACACAATCTATTCTGAGGGTTTCTCGTCCCTTTGATCGCTGTTTCACAGTAAAACACAGGTTGTGTATTTTTGGATTGCAATGCTGGGTGCCATGAATGCTGTGACAAACGTATTTACCATATTGTGTTTCATTTGTTGGGTTTTTTCTGGGTCATATTTGCGTCAGAGGACTGTGTAAGTTGTAATGCTGAAATGGCAGACACGATATTAAAGGTCAGAATTTAAATATTGATGCATTTGTCTCCAAAGCACTTTGACAAGCGTTTACATGTCACACTGCCAAGTCTCCACAACAACTGAGAACCTTTAACATATTAAGTGCCTCTCCATGTGGTGGTGATGCTCTGCGCTCCAAAATAATGAAGCAAGCGTGCTTTCCACACATATTAGCGGTGTCATCAGAAACTAACCCATGTTAAGTCCCTCTGCCGCCCCCCCACTGACCCTGATGGTGCCATCCAATTTATAGCAACTGTGCTGAACGAACGCCCAGCGAAGAACGCTAACCGGTGGCTCCTCTACCCAGATTAGCACCAATGCAGCCTATCTGCTGCTGATTTGGAGCGAAGCTGACTGAGGATTAATCCTACCAGAGAGGAGACGTAACTCTGTTGAAAGATTAAAACAAACGATGGTGAAATAGTCTCACTCATTGTGTAGGTTACAAGAGACATTCACCTGAAAAATCAACTGCTCAGGGCCATTCTTCTGATCCTGAAGGGTCCATGAACAGGGCATAAGGCTCATGTTTATGAGGATAACATGGTCCAGTCAGTTTGTAAAGTACTCACCAAGTTAATATTAAGAGCTGAGAACATGGTAGTATCTCTGAAAGAAGTGCAGTCAGACTGTAAACAGCTTAGCTAAACGTATTTGTAAGTGAAAATGAAGGCAATGGGTTAAATTACTAACCCTAACCCTAACACCCATCACAGTTTACAGACCAACTTACTGATTCAATTATGACCTTTTGTACTTTCCATACTTATGCTTGCACAGTTTTCCTTTACTATGAGTGATCACTACTGACATTTTTATCCAAATTCAGGCCAAAACACTGAAAATAATGTCCAATTAGTAATAAACCCGAATTATCCTTTAATGTCTTTCTGACATTAGGACACAACCATGGTTGGAGCTTTTATAAGCGGCCCCTGAGAACCCCCCCCCGCCAGAAGAGCCTTGGTCAAACCTGTTATTCTCTATTAAATTCCTTAGGTTTTAAAGTGTTTGATGTTCCATGTAGCAACAAAAACAGTAACAAATAGGAAGTGACATTTATTGTTAAGTTTGATTCTGTAAATCTTATGTGATGAGATAAAAGCATCTAAAGTTGCAGCTGATGATCACCGGTGAGTCCAAAGATCACACAGGCGCTGTAGAATCAGCACAGAAAACCATGGGATTCAATAAAAGTGCACACAGCGCTCCGGCTAAATGTACCACTGTGGTACAAGTTCATCTGTGTTTTCACAGTTCTTAGTCCTCTCAGTGACTTGTAGGTAGAGGGGGAAGCGAAGGGGGCTCCTCGTCATCTGAATCAAACTCCACGTTCTCGTCTTTAACCCACTTGCCGCTCCGGTCTTGCAACCACCCCTCACTGAGAAACAGACACAGCACGATGAAACGCACTCAACTGACATCTAGCAGTAAGAATGTGCAACTTCAGGCATTAAACGGAACAAAACACGGTTCTCTACCTTTTGAGTTTGAGGTAGTGCTCCAGCTCTCTCCTCCTCTGGGCTGTTATAGGCTCCGCCTCCTCTGTCACTGCAGCCTGAGCTCCTTTTATGTCCTCTGATGGATGTGAGCCTTCAGCTACACAAGACAAAACATGTCCACGGTTAAAGCCGATTCAGGCCAGGTTTTTCTTCAACACAATATCTGAAAATAAAGGATTTCCTGTGACAGACTTTACCTGTTGTGCAGCCACTAGAGCTTTGTAATGAACTGTGAGAAACTTCAGTTTTCTGACTTGCTTTGTCTTGTTCTGATGCTGTGTAGCTGGAAGTGAAGCTGGGATCTGAGCCGATGCTCTGTGGTGCTTTTTCAGATTTTGTACTAAAAAAAGAATCGCAGATTTATGTTTTCCTTTACTCCTTTTCTGTGATTTATATATGTGGGAATGTGTATATTAAATAACCATCTCACACACCTGGTTTTTCTGTGGCAGCTGTTGTATGGTACAGTCTTCAATAAAGCGTGATGTGTAAGCATCCGTGTTTGTGCCAGTAAAGGTGCTGAACAGGAGGGTTCCTAAAGAGGAAACAACATGTGTGTTAATGCCACCGAGAGCTCGCTCAGAAGCTCTGTCAAGTGTTGTTTGTCTTTTCCACATCCGGCGACAACTTGTAAATAAATTGGTTGGCAGGATTCATTTGCCAGGGTCATATGTTAGTCACAAGGACACTGACACAAGACAAAAACATGGATTAACACTCCCACCAGACAAAGACAGATTGTTCAGCTCTTATTGTTATTCTCCAGTGATGATTCACGGAGCTTCTGCATGTTGATGGATCCGCTGACTCCTGTCCAGAAACAACCTTTCTGTGCAACAACACGTATCAAGAGATCCTGAAAAGTTTGTTTTGGACGCGACTGAACAGCAACTTGACAGAGCGAACACACCTTACGCTCACAGCCGTTATAGGTACAAACCTGTCTTGTGTCTTCAGTCTGGACGTAATTCTCATGTTTCCTTTTCGTTATTTCATTCCTCAACCTTGCTTTCTTGCCATAGAACGCTTTCAATCCTGGAGAAATACAACAAGATAATGTTTATTGTACAAGCCATTACAATTACTTTAAGATGTAGTATATTATATCTAGGATTGGGCAATATGATGATGTATACGATGAGACCATGATAGAAATATCACCATATGATTATCACTTCAATATGTCCTGTTATATGACACCACTGTGGGAAAGTGGACAGCTTTATGACAAAAATGTATTTTTATATGATTTTTTCATCATTGTAATAAAATTACTTAACTTTTCAGGAACTTATTTGCTAAATTAGACAAAAACATACATTCCTGTCTGGTTAGTTTACGCATAATCAGCCTCTTAACTGATTCAGTTTCCAATAAAAGTGTTTTATGATCAGTAACATAACACAATGACGCACTGTGAGAGAAGACTTTATCCATAATAAGACATAGAGATCAGACTCCACCACGTCTCACCTTACACCTGTACTTCTGTTTACACCTGCGCTCTTGCACAACAGTTTTACACATCCCATAGCATTTACACACTGCACATCACATTTTAAAATGACTGTAATACTGAGTTTATTTTATTTTGTTACTACTGTACTTCTTGTAATATTGTGTTTTTTACTATTCTATTATTGGGTAATATTGTGGTTTTTTTGTTGCTTATTGTATTCTGTTATTGTATTTAATATCAGGGTGGACAGAATTTCATTGCACAGAGGAAAACCTGCTTTCTTTTGTTGCATATGACAATAAACATCTTCAACTCTTGAACCTGAATAGAGACACAAACATTACACATTTGTAAGTATCCCAGAATACAAGACAGTCGCTCTACTAACGAAGTAACATTAGATAATATTAGGAAAGAGAGCACATCACTACAGAAGGACTGCACATCCTAAATAAAGAGTCTCACCTTCCAGATGCCTTTTCCCATTTCTGTGGACTGTCAGAGTATCAACTGTGTCAAACATCGGACAGTAGGAGCACACAAGGCAAGCGTACCTAGAAACACAATGACCAGGGTTACATTTCGACTTCACGGCTTACTGTGTGTTCACAGTCTTTAGACGGCAAGTTGCAGGATCTTCTTTCACCTTCCGTTTTTCGTAAGAGTCGCTTCATCCTCTGGAATAAAGTTGGACAGCAGATCTGCCACTCGTCGTTTCTGGAACAACAACAACAGCAGCAGCGTGGTTCATAAAATAACTGCATCTCTTCGAGTAAACGCTACAAAACAAACTCACGCGTTACCTTCAGGATGTTCAGCTGACTCTTGTCGTCGCCTTCCCTTTTAAAAGACATCTTTATTTCGTTATTAATCTGAGAAAAACAGTCAGTCAGTATCAGGTTGAGCTAAGTAGCTACTTCACAACGTCCTGATAGCGGTGCTACGTTCCCGCTCAGAGGGTAAAATCGGAAATACGAGTTTCATGTTTGAAAATAACGCTCAGCTCAGTTTATACGCGGTAAAAAAAAAAAAATCTGATAATCACTTCTCGTTTCTCTTAAATTTGAGAGATCACGCAACCACGCCAACAGCACGACTATGCACCTGCAACGGATTCAACTCTGTTTTTAAAAGTTTTAAAAACCCCATAGCCGTGCGCGTAGCTTTTGTTTCCCAGTCGCGGTGAACGCAGCGCTTGTGACGAATCACGGGACTGACGTGACACGCAGCGCGGCAGCCATGGCAACCAACGGCAGCTGACGGCCGACCGCAGGAAGCATGAGACCGTTCACCGTCCGAGCAACGTCTGTGCAGCTCGTTTGAGACAACAGGGAGGTTAAACTACAGACACATGGGTTCAACCAACACCAGGTAGGCTGCCGTGGTCATGAGCTGCGGCAGGGGAGGCGTTAACAAGATTAAAGCGTCACTTAAGCTACTTAAGCTGCTAGTTGTGGTCACTTAAAGGAGGCTCTCGTGATGTGAACAGATGTTTTGAAAGTTGAAATAAAACGTGGTTTAATCGCCAGTCGCGGTTATGTCCGGGGAGCGAGCCTCTCTGCCGACCGCGGGGAAGGGCCTCCTCCGCGGGGGCAGGTCCCGGTCGTACGGCAGCCTGGTCCGGTCTCCGCTGGCTCCGGTCCGCCACAGACGGGTTGAACACAAAGTACAGCCCGGAGAAACGCTGCAAGGCCTGGCCCTGAAATACGGAGTGACTGTAAGTATGAAAATATAGCTTATATACTTATACTTACTTATACTGCACATGCACCTGCACTGTTTACTGTAGCTACTGTTCATTTTATATATTATATACAGACATAATGCTTTATATCTTATCTTTTATCTTATTTTTGATTCTGTTCTTAAAGTCAGGGGTTTTTAATTTTAGTTTAATGTATGTTTGTATTTTGTTTG